AGAAGACAGGCCAGTCTGAAGAAGAGGATGGTCCATGGTTGTCTTGCTCTGAAAGCTTGGAAAGCTACACTGAAGATGAGCTCTTCATTCAGCTTTGACTCGACCTGCACCCCTGGCCGGGGCTTGCACTAGCAACATTTGGGTCTCAGCAAAAAACAAAACCAAGCACACACATCTTTCCTTCCATTTATTGAAAAACGTTGGTTTGATTTGCTCTAAGTTTTCCCAATGATGTTTAAAAGCTTTGAGAAGGAAGGCTGCTTTGGTGTCTGAGGTGCCACTTCTGCTGTGAATCCTGGCTTTATCCAGGTTGATTTGCTGTGATAGATGCTTATTTGGAGGGAGCAGAGGTCAGGGAAGCGCTGGGTCTTGGTGCCTTTTGCCACTTTTTTTTTTTTTTTCTACAATGTGATTTCCAGTTGCTGCACAGTATCTAGTTTTTTTGTTTGTTTTGTTTTTGAGACCGAGTCTCCCTTTATTGCCCGGGCTGGAGTGCAATGGCACAATCTCGGCTCACCACAACCTCCACCTCCCGGATTCAACCGATTCTCCTGCCTCAGCCGTGCCACCACGCAAATATCAATTCCTTGGAACAGGTGAAGTTCCAAGTACCAATGCCAGTCAGAGGAAGGCAGTTTGGTTCAGGCTTTGGAGTTAGAAACACCTGAAGTCGAATCTGGGCTCTGTTGCTTCCTTCTTTCATGGGCTAGGGCACAATTCTTTACCTGTCTCTTGGCCTCAATTTCCTCACCTATAAAATAGATGAGGAAATTGCTCACTTATTGTTGTCTCGTTCGGAAAGCTTGGAAAGCTACATTGAAGATGAGCTCGTCATTCAGCTTTGACTCGACCTGTACCCCTGGTGGGTGCTTGCACTAGCAACATTTGGGTCTCAGCAACAAAACCAAGCACACACATCTTTCCTTCCATTTATTGAAAAACATCTTTGTAAGATCCATTCATTGAAAAACGTAATCCATTTATTGAAAAACATCTTTGTAAGATCACCTGCTAAATATGAAAATCTGACTTGAATTTGTACTATTTAATATTGCGTATCTGCTCTAGTGGGCAGGACCTAGGGCTTAAAGGGGAACTTCCTTTCTCCAGTTCTAGGAACTGGGACTCTAAAATAAGAAGCTGGTTGTCTGAAGTAACCCTGCAGGTGTGGTTGGGGAAGGTCTGTTTTCTTGGATGAAGGAACTAAACTAAGCAAATCAGCACTGTCTTAACCATTTTTATTTCCCTGGAGATAGAATTCTTTTAAAAAGAGTTAGGGAGCTGGTAATAGCAAGTGCCTTTCATTATAACCACATTTTGCAGAGCTTCATATTTATATACAAGCCTCCTAGGTGATACACTATTAGCTTGCAGACTTTCCTATGCTTCATTTCTCCTGTTGCTTTCAAAGAAGGCAGGAGACATGTTTAATAACGGAGCATCTGGTGATAAGAACTGCTTGGGCAAACCAGCTCATCTGGACTGTTTCTCAATCTTGGAAATGGGAAGAGGAAAACTTGTTTCCTTCCTGCTTCTTAAGGATATTCTGAGAGTACACTGATCAATAACACTAAATTTGGAATGAAAATACCATGTGGTGAGTTTAGCCTGCTGATGCTTCCAGTAGATCCTTGTATAGTTTCAATATTTAAGTTTTCTGATTTCATATAAATTTCTTAAAGTCAAGGATCTTATAAAGGTGCAGTGGATGTTTGCTAAATATGAAAAACTTACTTGAATTTGCACTCTTTAATGTTGCGTATCTGCTCTAGTGGGCCGGACCTAGGGCTTAAAGGGGAACTTCCTTTCTCTAATTCTAGGAACTGGGACTCTAAAATGAGAAGCTGGTTGTCTGAAGTAACCCTGCAGGTGTGGTTGGGGAAGGTCTGTTTTCTTGGATGAAGGGACTAAACTAAGCAAATCACTAGAAGTATGCCCTGTCCCCTGCTCAGAACATTGGGGAGCTCAAGAGTGGGTCACAATGTGCACCCCTCAGGAATAGCTGTGAATTGCAGTTCTACTGGCTTTTGGGTTTTTGTCTTTTGCTGCAAGGCACCCACGTACTTAACCATTCTCAACAGTGTAAATCAGTGTCATTTTAGAATGAGATACTCAGCTTGCTTCTAAAGTCACTGAATACTGAGTGAGTCTCTCCTTTAGAGTCTTCGGCAACCAAATTCCAGAATTGAAGAGTCTACTACTCAGAGGCAACAAGATTTAAAAAAGAAAACACAAAAACTGTTGAGGTGAAAAAAAAAAAACCCTAACTGGGAACACAGAGAATGTTTTGTAAGATCACTGGGATATTTTCCACAACTTCCTCTTCTCTTGCACACACATCTGTTGATAGGAAATATTTGAGGGTTTTTCCACTATCAAATGGGAGCTTCATGGTCCTGGTGCCAAACACTATAAACCTTTGACCAGCTGAGCTGTGACTGCCGTCACATATCTGAGTCCTGTGTGCACATTAATATCCTGGATCAGGTAAAATCCAGGTCTTCAAGTTTTAAGGATTTTTGAAGAATTCAGGCTTCTTTAAGACGATCCATGCCCAAATCCACAAGCTTGTTGACAGTGGATTACAGTTTGTGTGGCAAAGTCCGAGTTGTTACACTGTGCTTTAAAAAAAAAATCTTATCTGCATGTATTGTTAACTTAGAGACTGTGATCTATTTATCAGGACCAGGAAGATAAACACTTCAGGTCCATTGCAACTGACCTTTTTCTTGTTTTTCTCAAAACCTGGTGGATCCCGGGAAGGGAGCCTCCACAATTCTGTGGCTTTGATATTGGCTCCAATTCTCACAAGCACATACAAGCCCCATAATTGCCGCAGGAAAACACAAGATGGAAAATTGCAATAACCCATGCACTGAGATTTAGAAAATCATCCTTACTAGGTAAAATGTATTATGATGCAATAAGGGCCAACTGATATTTCTCACGTTGGGACTGGCCAGGAACTGCTGCAAAGAAAAAAAAGCAGCTCCTTCTCCATTATTTACATTTTAAGATGTGGTGGGGGGAGATTGGGAGAAATTAATTCTGAGGTTATCATATGCATTTTTTAAAAGATAATGGAATAAAGCTATTTTTAAGTAAGTGCTTTTGTGATCTTGATTGAGACCTGCTTAGTAAATTGAAAGACTTGGAAAAACGAACTTGACAAAAATTTTTTTTTACTAGCTTTTTAAAAATTGGTAACAATATTCTTCTTCTCACCTCAGCCCCGCTTTTTTTTTTTTTTTTCCTTGAGACAGAGTCTTGCTCTGTCACCCAGGCTGGAGTGCAATGGCAAGATCTCAGCTCACTGCAACCTCTGCCTCCTGGGTTCAAGTGATTCTCCTGCCTCAGTCTCCCAAATAGCTGGGTTTACAGGCGCCAGCCACCATGCCCAGCTAATTTTTGTATTTTTAGTAGAGATTGGGTTTGGCCATATCGGCCAGGCTGGTCTCAAACTCCTGACCTCAGGTGTTCTGCCCACCTAGGCCTCCCAAAGTGCTGGGATTACAGGCATAAGCCATCGTGCCCTGCGCCCTTACCCTTTTATTCTTTTCCATGATGTGTACATAAAAATGAGGCCTGTAAAGACTCCAGGAATCGAAGGAATTTGGAAGACAAAAAATGGAGACTCAGAAAATTAGAGAAGAGAAAAGTGGGAGGGGGGAGGCTGGACAATAAAACAGGGGTCCTCAGGAGGCAGGAAATTAGCGATTAAATGGGAGCAGAGGTGGAGGAGGCCGACACTGGTGCCAGAGATAAAAAGTGGAGACCCAGAGGAAGGGGTGTGCTGGTCCGTTTTTAAAATTAGGAAGCATAAAAAATACCCAGTGGAAAATGAAGGGTGAGAACGGGGCATGCTAAAGTTAAAATGGGCGGCGAGGGACAGGTAGCCAGCGGAAAACGGGGAGACTGAGAAATCGGCAGGGTAAAAAAAAAAAAAAAAAAAACCGGCCAAGGGGGGGGAACAAAAGTGTAAGCCAGGAGGCCAAACGGGACACAAGAAGGAAGTACCCAGGGCTCATAAAACAGGGGCCTGGGTAAAAAAACCAAAACATTAAAACGGAGCGACCATGGCGAAAAAGAACCCGGGAACCTCAGTTACCGCAGAAAACATAGGTTGCGTTAGAAAGCAAAGAAGTTTAAAATGGAACCACTGCGATCCGGAGCTCTGGGACCAGTGACCGGGAAATGGAGAGGGCACTTGG